ACAGTGTTCATAGATCTGTCATTCCGTGTTTCTTACAGCAGCAAACACTGCTTAATGACAGATTCGCTTGGCACGCAAGACGTCTCGGATCGTGCATTTATTAATGATTTGTTTGTGATGATAGAGCATTTAAATATAAGTGTCGAATATGAATGTCAATGATTACATTAATCGAAGAATCTATGGTTATTTTCCTGAATTCATGACATTTCTGACCAGAATACGTTATGTAACGCATAGCTTCTCAAAGATTTCATGGCGGTTTGCACCGATCTTAGTTCCTGGTTGTAGAAAGGTACTTAAGCAGGACACCAGTTCATGTTGTTTGAGAACCTGCAGTGTCAAACGCATCTCACATTACTTGGTTCTCTACAGCCACCTAGCGCTCATTATAAAAGATGTTTCAGGAGCTGGTAATGCTTACACACTGCTGCATAAACGTCAGCGGATGTTCATACGTAAGAGCATGTCAGATAATCCATAACTTTTCCAAGACCCGATTTCCTGGCGCTGGAATAGGAGTATTGCTTATGAAACATTCCGGCGCGCAAAAATGCTCTGCAGATGCTCAGATGCCATGGAGCATGGTCTACTCAAGTGCCCTCCGTCTGCTTTGTTAGCCAGAAGCAAGGGGTGAGTGAAGAACGCCGTGAAATCTGGCCTTGAAAGAGTCATTCGTGACCTTACGTACCCATATATACGAAAAATTACTTGTTATGTATATGTAAATACGTTGTAAAGAGATCAGTAAGCAGAATATTTGTCTACAGAATCATTTTCCTGAATTAAAGAATGTAGCAGCAGTGAATATTCTCTGTTAATTTCTGCTATCGCTTAGGATCAATGCATGTGTGGCATTCGCAATTTAAATACAACACTACTATGAACAAAAATGACGGAAGAAAATGCGTTGCTGTGTTGCACAAGGACAACTGACAGGGTCCTCTCTCGTCTGTCAAGTTATTCTTGCAAATGCGGAATGTCAAAGTAGACTGGTACTACTCTGAATTCTACGTCAGAGGTCGACAGTAGTGGAGGTAGTGATAAATGAAATACAGTGTCGATTCACCGCTGCACCAGTTTGACGCTGCGCCCCTGATTCGTCGCATCTCGCATCGCGTGCTTAACTGCCGTCTTGTTTCGGTGGCTGGCGTTGTGTCTGATTTCGCTGATTTTCCTGAACACGGCCAGAGCGAACAAAGTTAGGTTCACAAACATCACTCGACAATAAGTGGTTCATGCACGCGCTGCCGTTGGTTCATAGACGATGCTTTCTGTTGAGTATATTCTTTTTTAGGCTGGTCGATACTTTGACTCAGTACCTCTCGGAAGAAGCACAGGACGGTGCTCTGTGAATAGTGTAAGAAAATGGAAGTCACGAGTGACAATAAGAAAAGAGTAAGTCGAACGATTTGCACTGTATTTTCCTACTTCGCCGTATAAATGTATTATGTGAAATGTGAGGTTGTGAATACTGTAAGATTTCAGCGACCCCTGACGATCTCCTTGACAATGGCAATGCTAGCAGCAACCATTGGTTCCTCTTTCGTATTTGGTTACAACATCGGCGTCATGAATGCTCCTGAAATCGTAAGTATGCTCTCTTGATTATGATCCATAGCTGCCGTAAGCCAACACATCTATTCAGGTGATGAAGGATTGGCTGAACGAGACGTTTTTTACAGACGATTGGAGCAACGCCTCAAACGAGGGCAAGGTGTCCAATTTGTGGGCCCTTATCGTCAGTGTCTTTCCACTTGGCGGGTTGTTAGGCGGCATGATTTCTGGTCTGCTAGCAGAGAAACTTGGAAGGTATGAAAATTGCCCTCGCACGTGAAGTTTTTCTCCGTGTTTCTCGCTATTCCATTTCGCGCTCCAGTTCACACGCCTCAGAATAACTCAATTGGAATTCATGCCTTTCCTACGGTTTCACCGCTGGAAGCCAACTATTTTCAAGGAAACTTTCCTTCAGAACATTCATAAAAACAACGTAGGACCTTAAAAGATAGACTTTACTACTGATGCCGTTCTGAATCAGACAGGCGGCCTGTCGTTTCTATTCTTCATCGCCTCATATCTCACCAGTGGGCGCTGGCGGCCTTTATTGAGGAAGCAGTTTATTGCGCTAGCTTTTTGCAAGCACCGACAGTTCAGCACTGTTTCATAGTCACTCTTCCAATGTTATGACACTGCCCTCGGCATCGAAGGATAAGCGAAAGGCGAACAGTTGAGTTTTCTGGATAATGACAACTGAATTTATTGCCATTTCGCTTGCTTTCTTCGACAAACCTGGCTGAGTGAACCAAGCGACATCATATGTTGGCTAAATATTTGCCGACTTATCCACTGTAGATCACAGTTCAACAATCTGTGCTGACATAAAATGCCTTTGCAGCCATGAACGGTTCCCATTGATTTATCACAGCTCTTTTCGGTGTTCAACAAAATTCTCAGCCTTAGAATCCTGTCACTCATTGCGATATGACCACTTCTGTCTTCATCTCATATTTCACAGAAAGTGTGAGGTCATTACTAAGGTCAAATGAAGTGAAATATCCCCTTGAATCGTTTCTTTTCGGCGAAGCACTGGAGTATTTATGTCTCCATTCAAAGAACTCCGAACTTTGAATTCATAATGCAGAAACCATGCAACAAGCATTTTCGGAACATCTTGTTCTGCTCGTATCTGCTAACCTTTCGCTGCTTGTAGAAATGCAACTAGGATCACCTGTATATCTTCCACCAGATCCGTCATCTCCAAGATTTTCAAAAAAAAATTTACTAGACGTTACCTCAGCAATTTTGCCGTAGCATTAAACTTGCGTTTCTCCTGCAGCTCAAGCGAAATAGTGTCATTAATGACTTCTAGTTGTCCAGCCATTAATTCTGCCACACTGGCTTAAAACGTTCACCATACAAATGCAGCTTTGTTTCCGTTTATTGACACTCTTTGTAATTGA